AGCAGCGGGTGTGTGTGTGTGTGTGTGTGTGTGTGTGTGTGTGTGTTATAGTTGTTCCATTTATTCCCTCTGTGGATCACTGACAGGCTGTGGTAGTTGTGTTTGTGTCTCTTTGTTGTGTGTTTGTCTATTATTTTCGGAAGCAGCTTGTCAAGACCTTCCTTTGTTCAGACACACTTTTCCTCGGGGGCCGCGTGTAAAGCCTTCAATCTAGACACATATTGTATATATCTTTTTTTGTATAGAATATTTAGGGCAGCAGCCACTGATCCATTTTTGTGTGTTCTTTCTTTAATGCTTTTAAATCAATTAATCGTTTATAGTATGGAATGTCAAATAGAAAACAGTAAGAAAATGCCCATCTCAATTTGCAAGACCCCTGTGATGTCATAAGATTTGTTGTTTGGTCTACCCTACAATGTGAAAAGATAAATATTACATTTACAATGGTATCAAACAGGGTAAAGCAAAAAATGTGTTCACACTTGTCAAACTGGAACCTACAAATGTTTGTCATAAATAGACTTGGGTTTATATAAACAAAACTCGTTTAATGGTTCTTGGCGTCAGTGAGGTCAACGCAGGGCAGAAAGCAGCGTCTGGCATAGTCTGAGTTGGACCAAGATTGTGTAAGAACGAGGGAGAGGTCGCACAAACCGGGTTGCAGTGATTGGCTTTGAGCAGCCATCAATCACAACTGTATTTAATTTCCATAAGGTACACTCGGTGAACAAAATGTAGTTGCAATTTTATCCTAAGAGCTTAAATCAAACACACCAAGGAGCAAAGTGTCTGTACAGTGTCAGAGTTCAACAGCAGAGACTGATTCTCCTGAGGCAGCAAACCCAGCAAGTGTGTGGTCAATGCAAGACAAAGCAAAGTCAAAAAGAGACTACAATTGTATTACTGTCCATAGACCAACTCAAAATCCAGTATGACTGGGATGTTTATCTTTTTAAACATCTATACTGTAAGTGATCTCAACGGGGGATGGGCTGACAATTGCAAAATGTTTCTGAAAAAGATTCTGGTAAATGGATGTGATACTTAACATGTCTTGCCTCTATTTAAACAAGAACAAAGCCATACTGTATTTATTTATCTTTCTTTCTTTCTTTCTTTCTTTTAAATCTATTTTAAATGTCAGCTGTCAAGTGTAACACCTGACACTCCTGACCTATACATATAGCACACAAGAGACTGACAAAATTGAGTGTAAACAGAGAGAAAAGGCGAGAAGAATGACCCTCAACCCTTTTTACTATACAGCTGCAGCTCAGACGCACGCACGCACGCACGCACGCACGCGCGCGCACACACGCGCACGCACGCACGCGCGCACACACACACACACACACACACAGTAAGGTCTATAGTACACAGCCAATGCTCTCCTCCTCCTCTTGCCATATCCACTTTATGTTAATAATTGGCTTAAACAGCGCTTCTGTGGGACCTTTGGTTTTTGATACATTAACCCCTGTGTCAAGGTCATCTCCAGTAATAAAAGGGACTCATCTGTCTGCAAGCTGCTTTCTATCTCACACTGTCTATTATAAATTGGTCGGGGGTTAGCATGCTGCTGCTGAATTGGCCTATTCTAATGTCTTTAATTCCTTCCTGGAAGACCTTATTCAAAGATGCCTCAAGGCCTGAAAGAGAGCCAAAAAAATGCTGTTGTCAGCTCTGTGTGTACGCGCGCGTGTGTTTGAGCAGCCCCATAACGACGTGTGATGAAAGGATTATTGTCAGTGTTAGCGGTGGGTGTGGTTCTTAATGCATGCTTGAGAGGAAGCATGTGTGGACTGAAGATAGTACAGTAGGTGGTTTCGGAGTTGTGTGTGTACTGTATTTACTTCTTGAGTTACTGTGTAGCCTTTGTGATGTGCCCACTATCCCTGCAGCAGCTGGATGTGTTTGGGGATTTCTCTTGTGTTTTTATGACTCTATACAGTGTGTGTGTCTTTGTTGCAGCGTCCCATAGGGAGGCTGTGGTGCGGTCTCAGAGTGTGCGGGGGAGTTGATTTGCATCCCCTGAAGATTAAACTGGGGGGGGTTTAGCATGTGTAGAGGTGGACCCAGTGTGCGATACTGCTGGCTCGCGGCTTTTTTCCACAGCTTAAAGTGATTACCCCCCCCACTGTGCATTGTACCTCTAAAAGCCCAAGATTAACAGTGTAGCCATGTGACAGATCTTCTGTTTTATGTACATTGCGTATACTCTTAAGTTCCCTCTACAATGTTTTCTCACTATGAATCAGTACTGCGGCACAAGCAAGTCAAAAGCGTCAGCCCTTTAACAGCTACATCTCATCTAATCAGCAGTTATGCCTGCGAGGCTTTCCGTCGTTCTGCTTGCAATGAGTTGAGTTAGAAAGATCCCACATTTAAATACTCGGCCCCCATTTTGTCACAGAGTTCAAAGATGTTCAGAGACAGTGGCTTCTCTTCTTAGACTCGTCTAATCAGGGATTATTGTAGAACTTGAATTTAAGGTGAAAGCAATTAACCGCAGTGAACTACCTGTCAGATGGAAAGCCCAGCAGAGTCCCGAGCTTGTCTTCCAAAGTTTGCCACATCATCTCCTGTGGTCATACTTTCACAAGTTTTTTCTCAGAACTGTCCTTTTAATGCCTCATTACTCATTTCCCACATGTTTTTCAGCCCTTTTTAAATTACCAGGACCAACACAAGTGCTGTTGTTAATGCATGAGCTTTGTCCTCAGGGCTTCTGTTTCAGATCACTGTTTGGTTCCACTCTATAACGTTGTGTGAATGCCTTGTTTGACTGTTGTGAATCACACACCATCATTTGTTCCATTCTCCTCTACCAGTCAGTCAAATCGATGGTTCATTTGAAAACTAGGTTGGATACATTTCCGCAAATGCCACTTCACACAGTCAGTGTCTGGAGAGCCTGAAGACTACAAGTTTGAAAAAATACATTTATGGCGATGTAGAGTTAGAAAGAAGTCATCTCTTTAGTCTGCTCCTCATCTCTGCCTGAGGCTAGAGGCTTGAGGCTTTATTAGCAGCTACTAGCAATACCCACTAATCTGTACAGTTATGAAAATCATTGCATTCTAGGTCATTCAGGCACTATGTTTTGACGATTTATGGACTATTAAATATAATATATCTGGCCCGACTGCATTAATAATTATGTTCATTGGAAATAAAACATGGTATAGAAGTATATACAGTATAGAAATAGTAGAAGGCTAAATGGTTGGAGTTCACTTTTATGAAACTGGTATAATTACTTCAACAAAAATTGGATTGACAACAATCACAGTATATCCTAATAGCACAGTAGATCCATTGTGAATTAAAAGATTCAAATGTCAATAAGGTCATTATCCTAAGGGCAGACGACTGTTTTAATATCTACTTTAATGAAGCATAGTGTGCTTTTCAGTTCAAATTTCTTAAATAGATTATTATTTCACAGAACTGGCTGTCATGTGGATGTTTTCCATTATCACGCTTGAAATATAGTTTTCCACTTGGAATGGTCGTAATGTCAAAGCAGAGCCTGTCTACCCAGTGAATCAGAATGTCATGCTTAATCTGCACAGTGCATAAAAACATGATGATCACAATCAGTGTCACCTATTTGACTAAATGTATGACGGTAAAGAAATGTGCCCCATTCATTGACGGTCTTTTTTCTTTTCCTATCTCCTTTCAGGATTCGTCCTCAGATGGCAAAGGAGAAGATCGAGGGCTGCCATGTTTGCACGCTGGTCACGCCTGGAGAACCCCAAGTCCTCCTGGGTAAAGATAAGGCCTTCACCTACGACTTTGTGCTCGACATCGACTCAGAGCAGCAGGAGATCTACCAGGCCTGTGTTTACAAGCTCATCGAGGGCTGCTTCGAGGGCTACAACGCCACTGTGTTCGCTTACGGGCAGGTAAGACTCTGAGGCTTGGACTTTGATATAAGGGATTTTTTTTAATAAATTGAGTTGCAAATAAAGACATTTTTGTGGTTATTTATTATTATGAAGTTAGATTTGAATAAGCAAGAAGTAAAACAAAATGGCATTTGAGCACAGCTCGTCTTACTGGCCATTAGCCAGCTGGTGGGACACAAAGGGAAATATTTGCATGTATTGACATGCAAGGGTGGCCGGCCTGTCACCCAAAACAAAGCACAGCAAAGCTCCAATTTCAACACACACAAAAGGAGTGGGACTTCAATATCTACAGCAATATTAATGCACTGAATCCCATATGTATACAATCTTTATGCACTGTATACATTATTTTGCAAACCTTTATTTGCTGGACATCTATGGGTCTAACCCTTATTAATTGGCAATGCTCTCCATTATAACCCCAGACTAATGTCCTAGGTAGAACTTGGTTGGTTAAATAAAAACACCTAAGTTACAGTTGGTTGAAGTTTCATTATTTGTCAATATAAACAGGTTCATTTAAATAAATGTAGCGTTCAAGGTGTCTGGAGTACTTAATAAATGGGATCTCATTGGAGTTAATACATTGTGTTTCAGACGGGTTCGGGGAAGACCTACACCATGGGGACGGGCTTCGATGTGAGCCTGGGCCAGAAGGAGCAGGGCATCATCACGCGGGCCGTTCACCATCTGTTTGAGGGAATCAGGATCCGGAGGCAGCGCGCACAGGAGGCCGGCAGCCAGCCGCCGGAGTTTAAAGTCAGCGCCCAGTTCCTAGAGGTAGGCCACACACACCCACACTGTAAAACATACTTGCTTGGTCGCACATGTTAACAGTATTGATGCCCTTGTTTGCAAATGTGCATACGATGGACATTGGTCCACATTAACTCTAACCAGATGGGACAAAACAGGGAGACGAGAGGATCAGACCCCCTCTTCTATAAACAGGAAGTGACAACCCAATGACAGATGGGCAGGACTGTCTGCCTGTGCTTTTGTTAGTCCTGATTAATGTTGGCCATTACCTCTGACATTATTCCTCATCACTGTGGGCTATAGGGGGGTTAAGAGCGGAGGATAAGAGCGAGGGAGGGATGCCTGTGTGGGAGTAATAAGATAATATGTCAAGTAATCATATCCTCCACAGGTTTCTGTCAGGCAAATGTTGTCTCGGTGGGAAACTGATTGTGTCTTATTCCTTTAATACCCTTTCTGTTATAATCATTTAAATATACATTATCATTAGAACATCTACCTTTCGCTTCCTTCTTGTGTGTGTGTGTGTGTGTGTGTGTGTGTGTGTGTGTGTGTGTGTGTGTGTGTGTGTGTGTGTGTGTGTGTGTGTGTGTGTGTGTGTGTGTGTGTGTGTGTGTGTGTGTGTGTGTGTGTGTGTGTGGCAGCTGAGCTTTCAGCTGACCACTGTGGCCCTTGCCCTCTTTAGTTTCTGAGAGGTCAATCTTTTGACCTGTGTGTAAATAAGAAACACAGCTGTGAGAAAAGGAGAGGCGATGAGGAGAATGTTGACACTTTCTCATGAAATCATTATGTTTAATGGTTATGTTATGATTAATCAGAAAATTGCCATAGCCTTATTTGTGTATACATGGTATAATATTGTGTATTGTGGCTTCTGTTTATTGCAGTTGTACAATGAAGAGGTGCTGGACCTGTTTGACGGAGGCAGAGATCCCGAAAGTCGGAACAGGAAGTCCGCCATTAAGATTCATGAAGACGCCAGCGGCAGCATCTACACCTCCGGAGTCACGTCCAGACTGGTGCACACAGAGGAGGAGGTTAGTGTGTGTTTGTGTGTATTTGTGTGTGTGTGTATCCTCATGTCTAAATACAATCAGATATTATTTCACACATTTTAGGCTAAAGCTCAAACAGGTACAGGCAAACATATTTGCTTTTAGAAAATGGTAAACTTTAACAGTTATGTACGTTCTGCTTCCCCAACATGTCTCCTTTCAGACCACTGGAAATAAAATGACCAAAACACACTTAAATACCCTTGGACCAGGTGTTTATTTATCTAGTTGTATGGAAAAAATTCTGAGTGCTGCAATAAGCTTTCTGTGATAATAAATAACTGATTTGTACTGCATTGCAAAGAGTTAACTGTGAAGATGTGAATACATGCTGACTGTTTGAGGCAGATCGAGCTGCCAGAGATCTCTAGCACCCCGACATGAAGTCTGGCATGAACCAGCTGGTGGTCAGTCGTCAAAAACAAGAAACAGGTCGAGGATAATAAGGGAGGCCCAGCACTACCATGCTGCCTTTAACCCCCATGAGGCTATGTTCTGTGAGCGATAGACCAGAGTATTCGAGGGTTGCTTTCATGAGAAGTTGAGAAATAAAGTGTGAGTTATATTTACAGAAAAGGGGAACAGATCGTCAGTGACAGTGTGCAAGAAGGAGTATGTGATGGGGTCAAGAGGTCATGACTGTTAGTGGAGACGTGACAGAGAGGCTAACAGAGGGGGCAGGTGGAGATTAAGGAGGAAAGCTACAGCACTGTAAACGCTTTCTTAGACAACAAACTTATGGTATTATTCAATTCATGCTCAAAAGGTGCCGGAGTAGATAGAAATATGTGTTGTTTAATTGTATCCATCAATTGTTGTTAAATGGATGCAGAAAGGACAAGATAATAATGCTTGATCTGTGAGAGTTCATCCTCATTAAATTCCCCAAAAGACAACTGAGAGACAAGCAGAGGCAGATGGGCTCTCCTGTGCATGGGAAGAGAGAAAATGTCTCTACAGGGGGAGGGTGGAGTGTGGAGGTGATGGAGTGTGGGAAAAAGACAGACAGGTTGAGTGTAAAAAGGAGGAGAAGGGAAACGTATTGATGGTGGCAGCATTTTGAGTGGGTAGAAGTTGAAAGGTTCAAATAAAGAGTAAGACAATTGAAGTGAACGTAACAAATAGTTTCCCACCTCACTTAAATAAGCTTGGTGTATAGTCAGAAATGAGTGAGTGATCAGTAATTGATAGTCTCTTTCATCATAGATTTCTTTAGTTCAAAATAAAATTCCTAACCAAATGTCCTCCATATTTTCTTTGTGCTGTAGCTGCTGCAGTGCCTGAAGCTCGGCGCTCTGTCCCGCACCACGGCCAGCACCCAGATGAATGCCACAAGCTCTCGATCGCACGCCATCTTCACCATCCACCTCTGTCAGATGAGAGAGTGTCCGCCGGGTCTAACGGTGAGACACGGGGGGTTTTAGGGTAAAAGGAAAAATTAGCAAAACATTTATAAAAAACTATTAATTGAATATTACAGTAGCATTGAAGATGATCAAATAAATGATATTTTTTGTGTAAAACGCCCTCACTCATCAGCTCATTTTGAATGTTTTCTGTCTGCTAGCAGAACGGAGGAGCAGAGAACGGGGAGGTGAACGACGTGGACTCCGGCCCCATCACTCAGCCCGAGTTTGAGACGCTGATGGCCAAATTCCACTTTGTGGACCTAGCCGGCTCTGAGAGGCTGAAACGCACAGGAGCAACGGGAGAGAGAGCCCGCGAGGGAATCTCTATTAACTGTGGACTGGTGAGACAGAAAATCCTATAAAGTGTGTGTGTGTGTCAATTTGTAGAACGTGTGATAGAACACAAAGAGTTTGACAAAGCTTAGGTCAGCTTCTTTTACTCCCTGACTGCACTCAGATGTACAGAGGATGTCGTTTCTTTGTGATTCATACATTTCAGTATATATAATCATTTATGAAACTAGTTTGTGATACATTTAAATGATTTTGTTCTTGTTTGTGTTGTAGCTGGCCCTTGGAAATGTGATCAGTGCTTTAGGAGACCAGACTAAGAAGGGGGGACACGTCCCTTACCGAGACTCCAAACTCACTCGTCTGCTGCAGGACTCACTCGGCGGCAACAGGTACAGGAAGAAACACAAATATACTGTGTATACAGAATAATAATAAAAGTACAGATACATTGGAGAAAAATCCTCATCAAAAATCATATTTACGAATCATATTTTTCTGAAATATAAGTTTAGGTTTGTGCTTCTGTAATTAACTAAGCTATTGATGCTCTGTAGTCAATTAATCGAAGTTGGTTGGAAATGAACGTGAGTTATCGACAGAGTTTTCCTGAAGCTGCTATTGAGTTGTCAATGTTATGCCTGAGTATCTCAGGGGCTTTTGTTTTATTCATTCTCACAACAAGACATTCTTAACATTGCCATACTGTAAGTTGCCTTCTACATTTTTCTCCCATTACCAGTCGCACATTGATGATTGCCTGCGTCAGTCCGTCTGACCGGGACTTCATGGAGACACTGAACACACTGAAATACGCCAACCGTGCGCGAAACATCAAGAACAAGGTGGTGGTGAACCAGGACAAGACCAGCCAGCAGATCAGCGCCCTGCGAGCAGAGATCGCCCGGCTGCAGATGGAGCTGATGGAGTTCAAGGCGGTGAGAGATGGATGACGATAAGAAACGTTTATAAGACAGAAAACTTTGTTTGTGCGTTTGAATAATACAAAAAAAAGAATAAAGACAAGGAGGGGCTCAGAGAAAAAAGATAAAAGGGGCTGAATGACAGAGATGCTGAATGAAGAGTGGCAGGTTGAAAAACATGGCTGTCAGTGTGATGCAATGAGGCGGTAAGAGAGAGCTGACATGATGGATACAAATGTGAATAGTAACTGAGCAGAGAAAGAAAAAAGACAGCATTAATGGGAGTAAGTGAAGCTGGTATTGAAAGGTGAGTAAGAAAAGCAGAGGCCATGTCTGCTGCAGCAGCTGTTTACTATCAAATTAAAGATATTTACTGGAACACACACATCCATTTATACCTTTACTACAGAGAATATGATGAAGATTAACCTGTGCAACATCAGCATTTTCCAAACTAATGCAGAGATAAATTAATCATGTAGCTTAATGTTCTTGTGCTGACAAGCCCTGTCTAACATAGTTTACCTGATATAAACCAATATGCTGTGAGGAGACTGGAGAATGCTACTAGAAATTGTGACATGTAATAGGCCAGAAATTCAAACAAAGTCTGCAAAATGTCACCGTTTTCTCATCAGCTTTGACCTCCGGGGCTAAAAGAAACAAGCTAGGTTTTCAGTCTCTTATGCGATTAAGGGGGTTAATAGAAAGCTGTGAATGTGTGACTGCTGAGGGACTGCGAGCCGACCTCAGTGTGGTAATAAGGGATGAGAAGTGACTGGAGTCTGGAAGTAATGGAGTGTTGGATGGTGGATGTAATGATGTCTGCAAGCTGTGACTGGAGTATGAAGTCCCTCTCTGTTCCAACGGGTTTTTTTTCAGTGTTCATCATTCATTTACTAGAATCTGTTTAGTTGTTCAGGTCCTGTTGTGTTCTCCTTAAAGGTCACCTATTGTGAAAAATCCACTTTTTCACGTCTTTTATACATAAACATGTGTCCCCTCTGTGTAAATAGATTCTGAAAGTTTCAAGAAATGGGATTTGCTCACTTTTTGTCCTGATCCATTTATATAAAAACCTGTCTGAAAATGAGCTGATCAGATTTTGCCCACTTTATGATGTCATAACGATTTTTTGGCTTGGTAACCATTAGCCAATCAGCAACCAAGGTAACCCCCCCCCCCNTTATCACCTGAATCTCCTCCTAGAGCACCATCGTGTTCTTTTTAACCGAATATCTCTGAGGGGCGTGGGGAGGGGCTCCTTATTCTCATCTAAGTAACAGACAGAGAATCAGCACTTTGGAAACAGGGCTGAATCAGAGGGGATTATGGGATGCTGCAATGCATGATCTGTTTGGTGTTTCAGCCAAACACTTCAGAGACATGTTTTGTATATATCTGAGACCTTTAATATATGAATGAAAGACAGTATAATAGGGGACCTTTAAAATGGGTGTGGTTTTCGGTGTGATTGTTCTC